TCAACACCATTCTAGGTAATAGATGAGCAAAGACCTAATCAATGTCCCATTATAAGATGTTCACAATCATCCAATTCTCATCAATTCCCTATTCCTACAATAAATTACTCAAACATGGATGGGGAAAACCTTACCATGTCGATGGAGGAAGGCTTCGTGTTAATGGAGGATGGTAATGAATCACAATGTAGCAAAGATGTCAATCTAATATCCCCCTAAACAAATAATATGGTAGTTGTGGCTCTCTGGTATTCTCCTCAGGAACACGATGAATAGATGAATATATGGCCCAAAGGGGGCATGGCCAAAGACTAGTGGGCCCAGTGTCATGATGACACGACCAGGCTTGGACGCATGGCCACTCACGCGGGACCGGTGGTTGCCCCCGGATCTCCTCCGTCATGATTTGAGCAAATCTCACTAGTGCATTTGTCTAGATATGTGCTAGTTGCTCATACATATTAAGCATATCGATTTATTTTGAAGTTCAATCGCATATTTTCTGTTATTTCATGAATTATTTATGCATTTGTGAACAAACCTCATGATCATGGCAAGAAGGTCTTGTCTTTGTGAATTATGTGATTTCAAGAAGTTTCTCGCAAACATTCAAGAAAAATCATACAAAACCTTCAAGAAGAATCACATGCCCTACAAAAGGGCAAGCCAGGAGAGTAATGTGTCATGCCTCAAGACCGCACCGCGTACCTATGTGGGCCTTTAAATTTTTCCAAAGTGTGCCCTTTGAAAGGATCCTTGGCACAAATGTTATGATCGCGCGCGTTTTTCCACTAGATTTTATGGAGTTACAAATCTTCGAGAATCAATAAGTATCAAGAGTCAAAAACACCAATGAAGAAAGTCTCCCCCAAAGTCAAGATCCAATCTAGGGGGAGGTTCTCGGCCTCCACCCTTCATATATCCATGAAAAGATAGAGGAGAAACATCTTGCCTGGCAGGGGGCATCAAGGAAGGAGGGACCCCCTCACTTCTGGTGGCATCGGGACGCCGCCAGGGCGCCACCATCACCCACATTGTTATATCCATCATCAAATTATTTCTTTATCGAGTGATTTCACCATCCTTAAACCTCTCCAATCCCAAATTAAGGTGTGATTTCAATCCAACTAGTTATTACCCCATGATTTGGTGTATATTTTGTAACTTGTTCCGTTGTTTATCTAGTTTCATGTGTCCTTGTGGCATTGGTGATCTAGTACGACTGGTATAAATTGTATGTTCTGATATGGTCTTGTCCTTTGTGCTAGTGTACGGATGAACACATACATTACACAAGCATTCTACATCCAGCAATTGTCATGATCAAGGGCAGAGGTGATGTGAAACTGAAAAAACTAAACCCCACAAGTCGGAATCCATAGCGCATTAGATTGTACAGGACCAGATAAGTTAAAGCAACTTTTGGTTTATATTACTGTTATAATATACAATATATAGTTAGGCTGGTCGTTGGGGATTCAATCATAAGTGGCACGTGATTTAGTGGTTCTATGTTGTCTATTTGATTTGTTTCTTCATTTTTGGATTCTACCTATACATACCAATATTATATCTTATGTTGTTCTATACATTGTAATTGTCTCCCAAGATTCTTTGTGTAACCATTGGTGTTGCAATGTTTGGTTTACTGTTTCGTTCCAAATTCTTCTCTAACGTTTGCTTGATGTATTTTTAGATAGATTGGGATGAATATGTGGCAGTGTCACTGAGAAACTAGCATGTTAATGCTTGACTTGTCAAGCATGTTGGGTACCCTCCTATTCTGTAGAAGCTTAAGATTTCCAGCACCATTGCACTTATGTACTCTAGAGATGTCGGCATAGCTGACCCGTTGATGGGACAAGAATGCGATAAGATGGGATTGTAATAGTTTACTGAGAGGATGCACTTGAACTATAATTGTGATCTATGCGTGAAAATGTAATATATATATGTGTGTGTGTGTGTGTGTGTGTGTGTGTGTGTGTGTGTGTGTGTGTGTGTGTGAAATGCGTAATGATGTATGATGTGTGTAATATCTAATCGGTGAATTGTCATATTTTAAAAATCCCTACAAACTCACCCCTTACAGGCTAAGATTTCAGGCCAGTTAGTGATAGCATACTAAAGTAGTTATGAGACAAACTCTCTAGTCCATAAGTGTTAATCACATACCCGTGAAAGGCCATGGACCCATCAATGGAGGGGCAACTACCATAGACAAGAGATTAGTGGTGAGCTTTCCAATGGAGCATGTACATGTAGTAGTAAGGGGTCGGAACCCACTCAGATTGGATTCAGGTGGATATCAGACATAGAGTCTATTTTAGGCTCTACCACTAAAGATGTATATATAAGTGGAGGATCTGGACGGATTAAAAGGGATTGTTCGGTTTTGATAAACCCTTTCAAGATTCAAGGATGTCAACTGGAGGTGGTAGACGGGCGACTAATATAAATTTCTTGGTTGATTTTTGGGATCATTGAAGTATAATTTATTTAAATGCAACTAGATGAAACATCCTACATAGTAAGAAGCAACAATTAAGCAAGATAACCAAGGTAGATAACAACTTAAAAAGTAGAGAGAGCTTCAGAAGGAAATAATCCTGAAGTTCAAGTCCTCGTGGGGATTATTATACCAATTGGGGAGGCATGGAGGCACAAAACTTCCCAACGACAACAAATATCTCTCCTCCTTCTCGGTTAGCATTCTCCTTGAGCTTTGGCTAACAAAGCATGAGCCCAACGACTAAGTGGTAGGTCCTGAGGTGGCTTCCGACCTTCATGGACCTCCTAAAGCAAATCCATATGCTTGGAAGATACCGAGAGACACCAAACGTTTAGGGTTCATTGCCAACCCAATAGTAACAAGCATCACGAAGAAATCAAGGGAGGTTTAAGATTGACCTGGTGGAATCCCGAATCTAAGTTTCCTATTTTCTTTTCCCTCCAACAAATCAAAGTTTGATTTGCTATAGAGGTTGAAACAAGAGATTGAGGCGGTCAAGAATGCTGGTGGGTGAGATTTGGTCGACCATGCCCTTGGGGAAGAAGGGGACATCATATACATGGGCCCTATCTGTTTTGTTTTCCTTCACATTCTGCCTAACCCAAAGGTCCTAGACCAACTTGGAGATTCGAGATCCATTGACGAAATACTTCGGGTTTAGCAATAGTGTTTCCTTCCCCTTTGTCGTCGGAAGTCCAAAGACCTTGAGGCAGAGCTGAAGGTAAAGACCAAATTAAAGGGTCTTCTCTTCAAGGCTTTGGCACAAGGTATTTGTAAGTTTCTTGGGTTCATATGTCACATGAATCCCGCTCGTGTTCCTCATGCATATCCTTTTCATATCACGACCCTCATATGAGACAAAGATAGGAAAATATAATGCTTTGATCCAATTATGTCATCTTGTTTTATCCCTTTTTATGTGGGTGTTCTCCAACCACCTTTGATTTAAATAATAAGGGCTAAAAACCTGTCCATATACTCATGAATACTATTATCCCCTAATCGCTTGTCATTAGCATCAAAACTTACTTCAGGGCTAAGATGTGGTTTCACCCTAGCCGCCACCACCTTCCACACCTAAGTCATGTGATCGGATCTACCAAAGCACCCGTCGTTGCTCCCTGTACATGTGGATGCATTTAAGTGTTGCGCCTATTACGGTTGGGTGAATCACACAACGGATTCTGAGAGGAGAAGGTGATTGTATGACTATTTGTGCATTGACTTCTTGCTCCGGCTGAACTTTTGCTAGGCGGTGACGGCGGTGCTTCCGTCCGGGCCGACGATCGTCGAAGGTGAGTTGTTGGTGGCAGCAATTCCATCTATGTAGGTGGCAGCGGCGACCTTCTACATCCCAACAAAGCGGTCCTCCGCTCGGACACGTGGATGGCGCCGTGGTCCTGTGTTGCTGTTTGTTTGTCGCAACAGGATAGAGGGTCTTGGACCTTCAGATCCGGCAGCAACGGCAAATATGGTTTGTCAACCGATTATGCAACACTGGAGAAGATGTGCAGGACTGCCGAAGTGTCCCAAATAGGTGGCAACCGGCACTTGTTGTAGCTTGACTGGCTGCTTATGCGGGCATGGTCTTCACTTGCTTCGCATCTCACATCAAAACCGTGCCTATCATGTAGTTGATGGGATCGCGGAAAGTGGTGGCGACAACACATGATGACTTAAATTTTGGTGGTGTTTCTTGAGTACCTGGTCTCGAGCACCGGGGTGAAAACCCAAGGCCTAAATTAATTGGTTATACCTGGCAATGGCAGTGTTCTTGCGTCGGTATCTTATGGAAGGCATTACTCGGATTTGCTCAGTCCTTATCTTTTGGGTGAAAACCCGGGATTTGACCTTCAGTGGTTGGATCCGACGATGATGGCGCTTGATCGCCGTTCTCTTGCTAGAGGCCTTGCTATTAAAGAACCTTTCACGCTGTCTTTGTGATGGCAAAAGATGGTTCGATCGATGTTTTGATTACTTTGAAGTTTTTTTTCTCCGCCTCCCTAACGAAAGGTTATTTTTAAGGATTAACAAATATAGTAATGTGAAGATGAATCACAATCATACTTCATGGTTCAAACTCGAAATTAAAGGTAGAGCCCCTCCAAAGACTGCTCAAACGGGAGGGAGGTGCGAAAAGCCAACACATGTTCTTTTGAGAACCAAAGCCACGGATGTTTTATGTACTGCAATTGCAGGAGAGATACACTTTGGCACGCGTGCGACTGCTGCAGAGTGCGGACTGATGCGCCCCCAAACCAGGCCCCCAAGCTCAGTCGCCTGCACACATGAACAGAGCGAGGGAGCAAATCTACTGCGACATGCGCGGGCGGACAAACATACACATGCGCGCACGCGCGTACTCCCCTGCATGCATCGACCAACCACTGAGTTACAAGTGACACACGCACGCACACACATAACAACAACTACCAAGGACACACACTGGGAGCGGGAGATCCGTCCGGCCCGGCGTGCGGCGGCAGGATCAGACGGGGATGTGGTCGAGCTCGTCGTCGTCGGCGGCGACGGACTGGCTCTGCAGCCGGCGGAGCTTGAAGGAGGAGAGCTTCTGGGGGCCGTCCTTGGGCGCGTCCTCGAAGCGGATGTAGGTGTAGGTCCAGGCCCCGGAGAGCGTGCCGAGGACGGGGCCGAGGAAGTAGAGCCAGAGGCCGGGGTAGCGGTTGCTGGCCAGCGCCGGGCCCAGCGTCCTCGCCGGGTTCATCGATCCACCTGACACCGCCCTGCACTCGATCGGTCGCCGTCGCGTCTCAGTTTTATTCCATCACTAATCCCGTTTATTATATCAGAGCATAATACTACTAGACTAACATATTCATCGTCTGACGCGGCCACTATCAATCATGTCATTGTACTTAGCGTGCGTGCCCCATCGCTCCATGCTAGCTCAGGCCATGGAGGATACGGTCAAGGTTACCAAGATTAAGAATGTTATCAACGACTCCTGTTTGGCCCTTCCCTTGGGTGCCAAGAGCCAAGTGGTGATTAACTGGGCCTAATTAAGGAATTTCTCGTTTTGGGCGTGAGTGAGAATGAATTAGATACTGCGTAGTCCAAGTAGTGATTTCTTAACTACTACTAGCCGGCAAGGGGAGGTGTTAATTGATTAATCTCTAAGTGTAGTGTATATATTTACCCTGCGAAGATGGAGGTAATGCAAACGGAGGAACCGACAGCCAACCCAGCCAACTCACCCACCTGCATGAACAACACGGGAAAAAACAATGTCAGAATCAATGATTTTACAGAGGTCGACAAATGGCAATCAGCATCCAAGACGGCGGCCGGACGACTTACCGCTCTGGTGTCCGTGGCGACGGCGAGGGTGACGAACATCATGTTGAAGGTGACGACGACCTCGATGACCAGCGCGTGCCAGTGCGGCCCGACCGGCTCGGTGGTGCCGATCACGGTGATGGGGTGGAGCACGGCCTTGAGCACGAAGGACGCGCAGATCGCGCCCGTGAACTGCGCCGCCCAGTAGAACGGGACCTGCACAAGCACAAGCACAATCATCCATCAGAACAGATGCACATCGAATCGGTTCGTGAATATGTGCAGCTAGCATGGTAACTGGGCGGCTGGCCGGCGGAATAGGGTGCCGATCGAAAGGCCGCGCTGCATGCGATCTCCGGCAGATCCGGGCCTCGAATATATGGCACATGCCCCAAATCTCACAGCACCCACGCCACGCGCGCGTGCCCTCGACGAACCTGCGAGCTAGCCCCACACAGACATGGCCTGCCTCAGTGCCCCACGCACTAGGCAGCCGGTACGTACGCAGGCAGCAGGAGAGCTCCTGCGGCCACGACACATGTAAAGGTCGTCTTCTAGGTCGAGCCGGAAGGCGATTTCGCACGGTGAAAATGCCGACTAAAAGCGGTATCAGTGTTAAACCGGTCGGTTGGTGTGGCACAGTACCGGCGTTAGTGCTGGCGAGTGCCCCCGGCCGTGTATCTCCTGTGATCGATGCATACGCTTTGCCACCACTAACTGAACCATCGCGGTAAGAAAAAGAAAGCTTTTCATTCATATTTTCCGACTAGAAAAGGCTTTCTTTTCATATATCTGATGCGACCGAGCTTTAGGTTGGTGCCTCGACCGATCACACCTCACACATATAGCCTGCCTAATAGTGCTGTTTTTGTGCTACATGCAAAGTTATTTCTTCCAACAAACTCCAACTAGACAAATCGACAGGGAAAGGGACGTGCGAGGCGAAGCAGCTAAGCTACTCCAAGTGGCTACTCATTGTACTGGGCTTCTGGGCATCGTTTTGGTGTATAAATACCATCATGAAAGGTACTACCCGATTGGTTGGTTGGGACAACAAGTTACGCGAGCATATACCCTAACCCCGTTGCTTTTGACTCTGCTTATAGCTTATAGCTAAGTCCACAAGCTAGACGCTATGTCGACTCAATAATTCGCCGACTACGCTTAAAGAAGCGATTGAATTTGGCAGTATATATCACGTCCATGACAACACCCTGAAAAGTACGTGTGAGTTAACTGAGTTTTTAGCCATGACTAAACAAATCAGCATGTGATCATCCCATTTTCTAGCTAGCCTGAAAACGGTCTTTCAAATACTGAAGCAACTGTGGTAATCTAATAAGGCGATGAACATTTCTTTAACCGGAGGCGGTCCTGAGCATTGTACGTAGCCGTGACAAAGCAATCCATGGGTTTTCTTGTGCGACTTGTGTCATCCGGTCGAGATAGTATCTCGGTCGATGAGTGGGGTGTTTGCCAAGATCTCTTCGTTGGAAATAACAGACTAAGAGAAAGCGAGAAGATTAACGTGATTACTAGTAGTGGGATGGCTTTTGTGGCTGAATGATCTAGGCGTTTAGCAGCTAGTGCATATGCAGCGTCACTGCTCGACTGCCCAGAGTTGTGTCCTGTTGCGTAACGTATGTAGTACCTGAATCCAGGGGAAATGGCGGAATATGGCGAAGGCGAGGGTGACGGCGGGGTTCATGTGCGCGCCGGAGATGTGGCCGACGGCGTAGATCATGACGACGACGATGAGCCCGCCGGCGACCGACTGGCCGAGCTGCGATATGCGCGTGACGTCGTGGGCGCTGATCGCCGCCGCCCCGCACGTCACGAACACCAGCAGGAACGTGGACACCACCTCCGACACCACCTGCAGATCGACACAACAGTTCGCGTCATTCATTCATGCTCTGAATCCAGTGGTCGGTCACGCGGCCGGCGCAGTTCTATGATCGATCGAATCGATCGGTCTGGCTCACCTTCTTGAGGAGGTGGGGAGGGAAGTAGTCGGCGATGGACCGCTCGGTGTAGTACACCATGCTGGGCGTGGCGGAGTTCTGCACCGTGCCGATGTCGTGGATCTCGCTGGAGAAGGTCGCCCTGGAGTTCGACCTCGAGTTGGTGGCCATTTCCAAAGTCGACCAACTAGCAGAGCTATCACAGCACCTGAGACTGAGCTCCTGCTTTGTAGGTGGAGAGGAGGAAGCTTACATGAACTAGCTTAGCTCGCTTGCTCTTTGGGGAGATGAGAGCGGGGTATTTATAGGGCTGGACCGGGCGCGAGGTGGCAGATACTAGCAGTCCACACTCACCTTTTAATTAGGCCTGGGTGTCGGATAGGCACTGGGCTTGTGCTGCTGCTTAGCTCCGATCAATCTCCCGCCCTCCGTGTTTTTCCAGTAGTTTTCTTGTTTTTAAATCTGCTCGAACACGTTGTCGCATGGGCATTGGACGAAATAAACCAAATCCCGGGCTTGTTCTCTTCTGCTTAAGGGCATGCATAAACGTGTTAGGACCATGCCCGGGGGCGAAAAGTACGCAAACGATATTTCAATCGGCCGATAGAAGAAATGATTGCAGTTGTAAATTCGCAGGTGCCTATAATATGCCGGGATAAAGGCGCCGACGTCGGCGTCGTGACGCCGATGTACGGGGACGAACCGATTCTTTTAAGCCAGGGTTGCTCCGGAGAAAGAAATTCTATTTTGTAGGTGATGATGGATGGATATTTCATGGGAGGGGGGGTCTCCTACGTCCGTCCCCATGGCTCACGGCCTCACGCTTGCGAGCTTGTGTTTAGGTTGACATTGGCATATTCTACTGCCCTAGAAGACACGCAGTGCAGGCGTGATGAGCCAACGCCAACCAGGACAGCCGTGCCGGAAGTTTATCATTGGCCGGAGGGGCATTGTCCCTGTCAGCAGTTGCCGCCATTTCCAGATCAACGATGGAGCCCGATCAACTGGATATTTTTCAAATGCAGGGTTGCTCATGCCGAAACCCAAGCTATCAAATTCAAATGATGAGTAGTTGCAGATTTGCTAAGATGCCATTACAATAAGGGGTTATCTTAACCACTCTCTCCGCACTGCCGTCACCGCTGCCGAATGGGAGGCGCCGCGCTGCACTTTGATCGATCGTCGCCGTCAGAACCGACCTGCCACTGCTGAAAAAATCCTGTGCTGATGTCCGATATTAGTCAACCATATTTTGCAGTCCGGAGTGACCCCTCGCCGATCTTGGGCTCCCCTTTCGCCGTGTCGGGTGCGCACCGCATCGGTGGGGGATCGTGTGCGAGCAACTGCCTTGAGGCTTCAGAGTTCAGACATCGCCGATTCAGGCGTCTGGATACTCATCGTCTTCATCTGTTGCCTGGGATCCTCAGCGACTGCATGAATTGAGCAATGCGAGACGCCGACGTGGTACCAACCATTCTCTGCTCCGGTTACATGCACCTGTCTGAACTCGTGGAAGTTTCGAGGTTTCGGATCGAGGCTGGGATTTGCCGGCTTAATGTGACGGATGCAGACATGCAGGAAGCAGGCCTCTAGTGTCAGTTACTTGTGGACTGTGGTGTACGTTTTCACAAAGAAAAATCCAAAACTGTGCTTTCACAGGAAATCAAGCACGAAAACAACCACTCGCTGCAGATCGGCCGGGAAATTGATCCTAAGGCCCCGGAGTCCTGGCCAGCCTTGCCAGGCAGGTCCATTCTGCTGCAGCTCACTGAATGTTTCGACCTGACACGTACTCTGCAAAGTAAATTTTGTTTGTTGCAGTTGCAGCAGCAGGAATACTTAGTTTAGGAGGCGGGACAAGCAGCCGAGTAAAGATTATACACTTTGAGGTATGCATACGCGTTGAGAACGAGTGATTACATTCCCTGGCAGGCTGAAAAGACAGCTACTGTTGAAATCAGTGGCACTATCGTTTATACCACAACAAGAAATACTGCCATGTTTGGCAGAAAACGCAGAGTCAATCCGTCATAGATCCCTGACTGATTAATCTAGTACACATAATCATAACCTCTGCAAATCAATTCTTCTTCTTTGTCTGCACTCTGCAGCAATCACGTATGAGGATACAGATGATTACTATTTACTACTCTTAGTAACGTTCCTCAGATTACTATTAACGTTCTTGTCCAAGGAGGAAATGAACTGATTCCTGCAAAGCTGATGTGTTTAGTCCTTGGCGCTTTGCATCTATGTTCATACCATGAGTCCAACCATATTGGCTAAATACCTAACCTTGGCACGTATGGTCAGGTCAGGTCAGACCAACCGTTCAGATGAGTACCTCCTGGGAACCATTGTTAGTTTCAGATTCAGAAAAGCCATGGCTTCCTGAATGGGTAGGCGAGCGGTTTGTACTTTGTACCCGAGCGCGCCTGACCGCGGAACGTGGGTGTGCTTCGTAACGAGAATCAACATCCATATGCCCATCAAATCGCCTCACTTTCTGTGGCCTTCGACATTTTAGCACGGTGTTCTAGGCTATTCATTCACCATGGATGGCGGTATTCTTCGCGGGTCTTTCTTTTTTTTTTAAATATTGTAAAACAACTTTATTTTTGGACGTAGTGGTTGTGTGCATCTTGCTATGTGACGTCAGTCATTCACGCAGTGCAGTTGCATCACCTCGATATAATGGCCGGATGAAAATGTTGTTTGTCGAAAAAAGTTAGCCTCCCCTCAAGTTGGTACAAACCGGCTTACACAAATTGCACATAGTGTAGTGCAACCAACTTAGTCCGTTTTCATGCCGGGCAGGCACATATTAAAAGGTGTGGTTGTTCTACATGAAAGATGAAACATCGCATGAAATTCACTCGAAGAAACTAGATAAGGTGATTTTGAAAATGAATTTCGAGAAGGCGTATAATAAGGTTAATGGTTGTTCCTCCAACAGGCCTTACGTATGAAGGGTTTTGATGATTCCTGAAAAAATTGAATCCTTTGTTTAAAAAGGTAGCGTTGGCATAAAGGTAAATGATGACACGGGTCATTATTTTTAGACGCAAAGGGGCCTAAGACAAGGGGATCCGATGTCCGCTATTTTGTTCAACATAGTGGCAGATATGCTGGGAATTCTCATTGATCGGGCCAAAGAGGACGGTCAAGTAGGTGGGCTAGTACCTCATCTAGTGGATGGTGGTGTATCCGTATTACAATACGCGACATAATAGTTTTCATGGAACATGATATGGCGAAGGCTAGAAATATGAAGCAAGTCATCTGCCTCTTCGAGCAATTGTCAGGATTGAAGATCAATTTTAACAAAAGTGAATTGTTTTGTTTTGGGAGAGCCAAAGAAGAACAAGATTCCTACAGACAATTGTTTGGGTGTGAATTGGGATCCTTACCATTTACATATTTGGGTATACCAATTTATCATCGCAAGTTGTCTAATAAGGAATGAAAGTGCATTGAAAATGTGAACCAACTTGTAGTTGGATGGTTAGGTCGACTGTGGTATCCCCAACCCACCAGGGGCTCAAGTGTTGGTGCTCGCAGTTATCCTGTATTTATTTCAGGATTTCCGGCAATGCGCGTTTAGTGGGTGGAGACGTTTCCTTCAACTACGAGGCACCTATGATGACTTCGTAAAATCTCAGATGATATGCCGGCTCAGTCTTTCGGAGGTGCTCATAAGGGTAGAGTGTGCGTGTGTGCGTTCATAGGGGTGAGTGTATATGCGTATATACAACGCTTGTGTGTGCTGTATTAAAAAAAATTGCATTGAAGATCGATTTGAAAAAAAAAAACTAAGCTGAATGAGTAGCTCCTGGGATGCATTTTTAGTTTCAGATTCAGAAAAAGCCATGGCTTCCTGAATGGGTAGGCGAGGCTACCACTACTTGCGATTTGTACCCCGAGCGGGCCGAACCTGACCGCGGAACGTGGATGCACTTCGTAACGAGAATCAACACGCATCTGCCCATCAAATCGCCCCACTGAAACTTTCAGTGGCCTTCGACGTTTTAGCACACTGTTCAACATTACATATAGCCTTCCACGCCGGTGCCCGTGTGCTCGGATGGCCGGCCGTGGAAGGTTCTGCCATTCTAGGCTATTCAGTCACCATGGATGCCGGTATATTCTTCACGGATCTTTTTTTTTAACTTTTTCTGTAAAACAATTGTATTTTTTGGATGTAGTGGTTGTGTGCATCTTGCTATTGTAGGTCATTCATTCGCTCATTTATCGATAAAACCTAGCCTCTCCTCATCTTCTGGGTTGGTCGGCCTCTTTCTGCTTCCAATCTGCGAGATCTCCTCGGGCTAGGTGCTACTCCTACATATACCTGGCCATCCGCCGGGCCGGGCCTACCGAAGCCCGACACGAAAAACCTAGGCCCGAGCCCGGCCCGAGCCGGTTGTCGGGCCTAAAAATCAGGCTCAAGCCCGGCCCATCATGCAAAAAGCCTATCGGGTCTCAGGCAGGGCCTATTCGTTAAACTGCAAATACGACGGGCCTGTGCCCGCCCAGGCTCGGCCATCGGGCTCAAAATCTAGGCCCAGGGCGGCCCGTGGGCAAGGTTGGGTCGGGCTTTTGCGGGCCGGGTCGGGCCACCCGGGCCGGACTGCCCATGGCCAGGTATACTCCTACACCTCTCCGGGTTGCTGGTCAAGGGGTGGTCGGGGAAACGTCTGTGGCGGTCCAATGTAGGGCCCGATTAGGGCCGACGGCTGCAGATCAAGCCTGGTTCTGTGATTGACGGCACTGCTTCGGGGTGCTCTGAAGGTATGATCTATTGACAATGACTAGAGTCAGACGGCATGTTTGTACAACGATAACGTTGGATTTGTCTGGTTGGGTCGGCGTGGTGATATGTCGGTGACCAGGATCCAATCTACAGGTACGGAGGCGACAGTGTCGGCTTGCTGCGTCCTAATATAGCGGTTCTTTGCTCGGGTGGCTGTATGCATGGTCCTATGTTGCTAGGTGTTTATCCCGACGGGGCGGGGGATCCTTGATCTTCAAATCTAGCGGCAATGACGAGTATGTTTTCTCGTCTGATTCAGCCGTCACAGACGAGAACGACGAAACATGAGGACGGTGCGAGATTGTCGGAGCATCCATAATTAGAACTTTGGCAGTGTCGTCGACTTTCCTCCCTTAAT